AAAAAAAAAAAAAAAAAAAAAAAAAAAAAAAAAAAAAAAAACCCACCCAGCACGTCAATACTCGCGCTCGACTCGTTTCCTCTTGCTGGCCCCTTCCGCCGTCTCTCAATCCCGGGGCCGAGGGAAAAGCCCGTCTGACCTTAACCCGACATCATCTACTGAAACCAACACTCCACACAGCTTCCTCTCGATGTTATTCGGTATCGCGAGCAGAGATTTTTCTTTTCTTTTTCATTCATCCGGCTTCTGAGGACCCTGGGTGCGTGGATTCATTAGACTATAATGTACCGCTCGGACGTCGCGTGCGCGTTTGACAGCTTGCGAGGACGATGGGCTGAATTTTTTATAATCCCCGGGGGAACATACGAGGAAATAGACGTAATGGCCTTGCGAGAAAACTACTTTTTTTTTTTTTTTTTTTTTCATTTTCATTCATTCATTGGAGCGACGTTCGAGATTAGTTTCATTCAAGTGATGTACCCCTAATGTCAAGTACTCCTAATAGGCGGTCAAGGCGGGAGCGATGGGAATAAAAGTGTTTATCCGATCGACAGGGCGATCGTAAAAAAGACGCGAGTGGCCGGATCGTCTCCGACTGCATTTGACGGATGCGCGCAACACATGGGCTTTGACGCGCTGGCGTTGCTCGTGTGCGGGCGGTAGAGCGAAATTAAACCTGGCGCCGCGTGTCTCGGTCGCAGCAATCGCTTACAAACTGCGACGGCCGGGCAATATCGACGCGTATGCGAGCGCCACGGTGGAGCCGCTGGATATGGTTTGTACTCCCGTGTGCACGGCTTGCAGATAAAAATTTATGCACTCCGGGCCACACGCGTGGACGGGGAAAGTGCTCGAATGCCATCATCTCCGAGCTTGATGGATTTAGTGCTTGCCGCTGTACGGGCTTTTTTATGGTCCGAGCACTTTTCCCTACAATAAAAATATGTGCATAAAATTAGATTTTCAAAACTACGAATTAATTTTCATTTGATTATTCGCACATCAATACTGTTTTTTACGACATTGAATCGAATTTTTATGCAATGGTAATGGTAATTTTTTTTCTTGATAAGCTTTAATGGCTTAGTCCCTGTTATCAACTACCTATTTTTATCTCACTGTTATCATAACTTTGTACATCTTCATTTATAATAACTGAAATTCGCAGTTCTATATTCCTGAATAAATTTTTAATGGGTCTAATTCAACTTCTTTCATCATTTTTACATAGTTGTATCTATATTATTATGTTATAATTCCTACATTTTTTTACAATAAATATTTAAGTCGTAGCTGAAATGGAAATGTAGCAATATACTTTTAGGGTGTTGATGTAGTTTTTTGATTTTCCAAATATGATTTGTTGTTATTTTTTTAGAGAAAAATTCAACTCAATTACATAAATAACGGCACCTTGCAAAACATAAAATACGTATTTCCTTTTAATTTGAATTGTTTTCAAAAATTTTTTTTTTTTTTGAAGCATTTAACTAAAACAATATGTCTGATGATTAAATAATATTTCAGCTAGATACACGTTACATCAAATATCGATTCCAGTGTAAATATTTAGGTAATTTCAGTCACCGTGTGTGATAAATAATTAGTTTTTTCTAAAAAAATCACTGCATGTTATAAAATTAAAGAATCGATTTATTTCATGCTATCTGATTTCATTCAATTCAATAAAATTGGTTTTATAATGTTTGATAACGATACGTCTTTAGTCTATGGTACGTGTATTTTAACCAATTACTTTAATAAATATTTTTAAAATTGAGATATTCAATAACGTATAGACAGATCATAGATATACGCACGTGTAAAAAAAAGGAAAATTTTAATTAAACAATAATGAATCAATAGAGTTTATAATTTTCTACTAATTAAATAATAAATTGATAAGCAAGTGAATACAACGTCCTTTAGTAAATAAACAAAAAAGTATATATATAATATGCAAAGTATAGAGCGTTTAATCGTCACTTTGATAACTGCAATGTCACTGCGTATATAAATTTAATCAACATCGTACACTTATCTGTTGTTGACGTAATTCATCTCCATGTACAAAAAATACGCTTTTTAAACTTGACTCTTTGACTTTTGGAAAAAAACGGTCTTTACTTGAAACAGTTGTGCCAAACGTTGTAACGGTTACTTGAAAATAATAAAATGCGAGCTGATGGCGTTTGATATACATCGTATACGACCGAGCTCCTCTGACACATTTTTTTCTTGAAGGCATTTCGAGCATGACGAATATTTTGCTAACGATCGTAAATGGTTTTCTTTGTTATCGGGTTTACTTTTATTTAATATACAAAAGATGATTGTTCTCTAGTAATTACCTGAATTTACTAAAGCTTAAGTTCTCAATTCTACCTGCAAGAATAAAAAAGCAATTTCACAAAAATGAAGATAAATGAGAGCTGATTGGTTTTTATTTTTACTGTATGTATTGATAATCAATAGTAATACCTTATCTAAATGTATAATTATATTTTTACACCCAAAAATTTTTCTATGGTCAAATCATGAATCAACTAAATTCCATCAAACATCCCTAGTCAAAGTCCAAAATATCTGCATCGCTCAAATTACTGAGCCCCCGAATCTCTTTCTTTGTAAATCCGGTAAAAAGGGTTATCATAGAGGTTCTTTTTCCATTCAGCATGACTTAAGAGAATTCGAGATCTTGATAGGAATCCGATTGCGTCCGCATGCGATATGACAATAAAAAAAATGCTCTTGACAAAGCAAACAAGGTCGTACAGTAGATGGATGAGAATCAAAGTTGGGTAATCGACAATCAACTGTTCAACAACAAAATATGAATTTGACAAGCAACGGCATGCAATCACGCATTTGTATCAAAGTCAAGCTTTGCCAATCGTATTCATTACGCAAAAGTTAGGAACTCCCGATTTCAAATGCAATCAACGGTACAAAACTCGACCATACGACACTTCCTCTCGAAGATTCTCAAACACTAGCTGTCTGTGCGCCCGTTGCCCTGCTTGCAGCTAAAGGATGCCAGAGCCACTATCTGGTCATGTTTATTCACGCTACGGCTCTATGGTACGGAGTGAAAATGGTTTCCTTTCAAGACGATGCACTGCCGCGCGTGTGTGCTTGAGGTCGTTCCACGGGTAAAAAACTGATTGCACGGGGTATGAAAACGTACCGTACGTGAGAGATAAGGCCACTGCTACGCCTTCCCTGGCGGCCATAAAGATACAATAGTATATGCTTCCTTCGCCCTTTTTCTTTTCTAATCCGAGCACTTTGCGCTACATCTTCTACGTGGCTGTATCGAGTTTGGGTTCATGCGCGAGTATAGCCAGCTTGAATTGGTATCATCGTTCCGTTGTCAGGAGCAGCAGCTTACGCTTGTAGTACACGAAGAGAGAAGGAAGCTTAAGCTCGGGTCGATTGGTTTATCGGAGGCAAGGAGGGCTTAGTATTCAGAGTTACCTGCGGCAACGGTAGATCGAGTGTACACGTACAGCTGCTGTTGCGGATGTGTACCGACTTACACGTGTACGTGCTAGATGTGACGAAAGGGTTGCATTAATTGACACCAAGATTTTTTGCTTCTCTGCATGGGCTCGTAGCTCCTAGATCGAGATCTATGCAAGGTGGCTCCAGGCTGTCGAGTTCATCAAGGGTTGTCGATGATTCACTGCTTAAGAACTGACTGCACGCAAATGATAAGGATCTCTGGCAGTACATGCAAACATACGTGCCGTCGTGTATTTTTAGTAATGGCGAGTGCATTACTATCTAGAAATAGGGGAAACAAGAAAAACAAGAAGCATTTGCAATTAAAACTTTTGGAATTATTATTATTTCTTTCTTTTTTTTTTTTTTTTTTTTTTACATGAAGCGTTGCGTAAAGCAGATAAACGGACCAACATAAAATTTATCGTTTTTTTGTCATATTTATTCAAATGACCGATTCACACAAATGTTATTTCGAAAAAGGCCATGGAATTAGGTAGAATCATTGCGGTTCAACCTTTCAAAACGACCCCAAAGTCCACCTTTGATGTACATTATCAACGAGGCTGGGTCGTACTCCAAAGGCCTCCTTGTCTTTTCCGAGTTTTCTACGGAATACTTGATAAGCAGATTCACTGCCGCGATTTTCACCAACATCATCCCCAGTCTTATCCCAATGCACATCCTCGGACCCTCACCAAAGGGCAGGTAAACGAATTGATGGCGACTGGCCACGTTTTCTGGACTGAACCTCTCCGGGTCGAAGGTTTCTGGATCGGGCCAGTACGTTTCGTCCATGTGCAAAGCCAATACTGGTATGAAGGCGAGGTCACCCGGTTTCAGGTGGAACTTCAGCCCATCCGATCCCATGAGCGTGATTTCCTTGGTGCACTCCTTGAACTGAGTGCCAAAGGGTGGCAAGTAACGTAATGTCTCGAAGATCACCTGATCCAAGTAGTTCATGTCCTTCAACAACTCGTAGGTCACAACTCCATTGTTCTTTTTGAGCACGTCGAGAATGTGTTGGCGCAGCTTAACTTGTATATTTTTGTTCTGCGAGAGAAAGTAGAACAACGCGGATAGGGTCGAGCTCGAAGTTTCGTACACATCACCGTAGAAGATCATAACGTCGGCGATGATTCTGTTGATGTCATCCTCGCCGCTTGCGTCTATGCTGAATTGCAGATAATCGTCTGGCTTGATGTTGGACAGTTTTCTCTCCTTCATGACGGCCAGGATGTTATCTCGAAAGTAGTTATTTGCCCTTTCAGAGAGGTAACTCACCTTCAGGAAATTTCCGACACTTGGCAGATAGAACACCAAGGCCTGCTTGATGCCGTTGATCAACGATGATGTGAGTACCAGTTTTACCACACTTGAGAAGGATAATTTGTCAGGCTCGTCAATGAAACACTGTCCCTCGATTCCAAGGGCGGCGTTTGCTACGATCTCACCTGTATATTTCAAGAAAGTTTTCTTCAAGTCGCACTCGAGGGAGCCGTTATTCTCCTTTATTTTTCTATCGATGTAATCATCCATTTTAGAACATACTTCATTTATAATCACGAAGAGATGTCTCAATTTTTTGCCCGTTAGGTGACTGCCAGTTCGCGTCCTTTCCGTTTTCCAAGTGCTTAAATCAGTAACGAAGAATGGATGTTTCAAAAAAACTTTTTCAACGTTTTTATCCAAGTGGAGTCCGTTGTTGTGGAAACTATTGAAGTGTGTTTGCAAAACACTTTTCACCAATTCTGGATCGCGGATAATCAAGCCAGGCCGCTGCACGAAGTAAATACCAATTGCACTTGCGTCAGTTTTATTATACACGTTTTTGCTGAACGTACTCATGCTTTGTTTTAAAGTAATAATGGGCAACATGTGACCAAACACGGGCACAGGATTAGAGAGAAATGGCACATGTTGTTTTGACCAATAATTGTAGTGTCTTGTTGCAAACCAATATGTAACTAATGTTAATACTATTAGTATTAACAACGAAAGGAACAGTTCCATTGTGCTGCCGTCGCGATACTGAAAAATTTTAAACTGCATTTTCGTCTCTTTCTGCACCAACTTCTCCCCAAAAAACTGTGTAATCAGATAATGATGCAACAAGTTTAAAGTATTTTGGTTTACTACCGAATTTTCGATAACATTTTTAATGCAATCATCAGTAACTGTATTCGGCGTTTTTTCCTCATGAAAAGTTGTATGTGTGGAATATACCAATACTATATGTTAATTTTCCTAGACCATAATTAAGGGAAAAACAGGATTCGTAGTAGGTATCTGATTACGCTACAATGAAAATAAATTTTTTTTTTTTCAAGCGCTTTTATTTTGATAAAAATTTTAATTTTTCAATTAAAAAAATTTGTTATGGTTTTAATTATATAAACATACACATTTTTTGTTATAAAAGTGTTTTTAAGTGATTATTGTAGGCTTTAAACCGCAAAGGCACTTTTTGTAGTATATCACGATTGAGGCTTTACAACTACTTAACCTTTATTTGGATATCCAGGAGTCCATAAAAAATATGAAAAAATTGACCATTGATTGGTGACTATCTTATACATATGACAATAAGAACTAAAGTCTCCAAAGCATTTTATGATTATTCTTTCGTTGTTTATTAATCAGAAGAATAAAATACCTTTGTCTTTCTACCATCCTTATATTATTTAATTGTTGTACAGAAGTTTCACAGGAGTATAAATTGAAATGGTAAAAAAATATTTCTTATTGTAGGATAGTTAACGCATGTACTAAGCTATTGTAGTTTTTTTCAGAGTTTTAATGGTCTCCTGGAAGTCAAAATTAGAAAGTTTCTATTATTTCAGACATAACTTCATAACTTGTGGAAAAATCTTTTACCGTATAACTCATTAAAATTTATTTTAGACAGTGAAAAATCAGACACATTTTTCTATATTTAGAAGAAAATTTTCTAGTTCTTGACATTAAAAAAATACAGTTATTTGTGTAACCCAACTATATAAAGTATCGGAAATTATTTTAAATATGCTCATACTCACTTTAGTTAATGTACTATGTCAACAAGATTTAAAATGAGTGTTTTTAGATTTTTAAAATAAAAAAAAACTAGCATTTGTTTTCAAAAATATGATTTTCAAATTTTTATGCTTATATTGAATATTATTGTATAACAAAATGAAAAATTGGGGTTTAAGCTATTTTTTGAATAATCTCAAAGTTAAGTAAAAAAATTAAAAATCGATTAATAATTGAAGGCTTAAGCTGCTTTTAAACATTTTTTTACCTGTTTGGCCCCACTGTGAAGGAGTACCGAAAACAACTTTTTTTTTTCATTCTAAAATATTTAAGACAAGGTAACATAAAAAGAGATTTATTACTTACGCATGTTGAATCAAAAAAATCTTTCTCTTGTTAAGCCTAATTTTATTTTTTATATTCTACTATGAATCAAGAATGATCGTCATTGGTCGAAAAAACTTGTATAACAACTTTTTTTTCATGCAAAATGATAAATGTACTAATTTATTAAATTAACAACTAAAATATACAAGGCCTTGTTGTAAACTTTGGTTTGGATCTTATAAAAATAATTAATCTTGGAGCTATGATTTTGTTGCATCTTTAGATTGGATATTTAAGAAGTCAAGTCAATGTTTTTACTGGACCTTGTCCTGAGTTAAAGATTGTTAGTTTTTACTTTAACAATAAAATACGACTTTTTCGTAGGAAAGTTTACATTTTATTACCTAAATAAGTAAATCATTAACATATTGAGTGCATAAATAAACCTTCTTTATCAAGGTAAAATTAGGATCTCAGAGCTACGCAAACACATGTTGAAAGAATTTTACGTATAAAATAAATAAATGAATAAATAAATAACTAATAAAAATTTATAATAATAAGATAACTATTGTTAACATTTTAAATGATACAGCAAAAAGGAAAAAAGATTCTTATTTGAGCAATTCTTACCAAAACCCCATTTGTGCATGGAATTACGATAAAATAGTCATTCAAGTGATAGGTGTCCAGTTTCAAAAATAACTCTTTTGAATATGTAAAATAATTGAATTCTTGATGTTTTTAATTGACTCCCATACATAACTACATTTTATGTATGCATTTATTCATAACATTACTGAATTGACAATGAAATTTATTTTAAAAAACCCTCAACAGTAAATTTTAATGTAACAATTAAAATTCTTTTTCAATACACAGAAATATTTTCTAGGAAAATTGACAATCAACTTGTACCTTGCTCTCCACAAAAAGTTGAGGTGATGCATAATATAACAGTAAATAAATAATTATTAAAATATTTACACTCAAACATTTCATCAAAACTATTTTGAAAGTCTCTTGAATTTTCCCCATAAACCTCCTTTGATGTAAGTTACAATTGAAGTAGCTTCCAATTCAAGTGGTGTCTTCATTTTTGCAGAATTTTCTATTGAGTAATTTGTTAATAATGTGGCTGCAGCTAATTTCACCAACATAAGTGCCAGTCGTCTACCTAAGCACATTCTAGGCCCATCACCAAATGGCAAATAGGCTCCTTCGCGGTGATTCGCATGATTTTCGGGATTAAATCTGTCAGGATCAAAAACGTGAGGCTTATCCCAATATTTACTGTCATTTTGCAATCCCATTAGTGGTATCATAATAACAGTGCCAGGACGAACGTGACACTGTAGGCCATCGGATCCCGTGAGAGTCGTTTCTTTGGTACATTCTTTTTTTAGTGCGAATACTGGTGGCAGTGTCCGTAACGACTCTGATATCACTTGGTCCAGATAATTCATACCTTTTAAAGATTCGTACGTTATTTCTCCATTGTTAGCTTCCTTTGACAAAACAATATGAGAACGAAGTTTATCTTGTACTTCCTGATTTTGTGAAAGATGATAAAACAATATGGCTAAAACTGTACTCGATGTTTCATAAACGTCAACATAAAATATCAAAATGTCAGCTATAGTACTATCTAAGTCATCTTCAGGATTTGATTGTAAACAAAATTGAAGAAAGTCATTTTGCATCAGATTTGCTTGTCTTCTCTGTTTGATTATAAGTTTTAAGTTTTCTCGAAAATATTTATCCGTCTTTGGTTCTATGAAGCTTACGTTAATTGCACTACTTAAAGCTGGCAAATAAAAAACTAAGGCTTGTTTGATGCCATTCATGAAATTTGGTTCAAAAAGTGTCTTAGTAATATTGACGAATGCCAACGGATCTGGATTATCTTCGAAACTATGTCCTTCCATTCCAAATGCGCAATTTGCCACTATTTCCGAAGTATATCGAGTAAAGGTATCCTTCAGTTCACTTTCAAATGAATCATTATTTTCTTTAATTTTACGATCAACGTAATCGTTCATGTTTTGACACACATCTTTAACAATGTTAAGAAGTGATTTTATATTTTTACTTGATAGGTTGCCTATCGCACGGGCCCTTGACTGTTTCCATCGATGAGGGTCAGCAATGAAAAAAGGATTTTTCGCTAACACAGGATCTGATTTTTCATTCAACACAATACCGTTGGCACTGAAATTTGAAAAGTTTGTAACCATAACACTCTTTACTAGTTCCGGCTCACATAAAACTAGACCTGGTTTTCGCATAAAGTAAAAACCAACCATACTAGTTTTCGAATTTTCATACACATCCACAGCAAACGTCATTAAACTATTTTTAAGGGAAATAACTGGCCACATGTGTCCGAATCCTGGCAACGGATTTGGTAAAGATGGTACATTTTGTTTTTTCCAGTGATTGTAAGTTAATGTCAAATACCTATATATTACTATGCAAGCTAATAGAATCGCAAGCAGCACCCACGTGATATCCATTCTGTTGCAGAATTACGACTGCTTAAAATTTAAATGGAACGAAGGCTGCAGTGAGATTATTCGTGATGACATCATCTGAAGAAACTGGTATCTTGCTCGTAGCGTTTTATTAAATCAGTTGGTGAGTGTTGCAGTCGAGGCTTGTATGTAATTTGTTACGATGTGTGATGACTATCAATTTTACAATCAATGTTAGCGCATGTCACGTTTTCTGTAGTACGTCACACAAAAACAATGGCACGTAGTAGCGATGTGTTATGTGATACGAAATTGCGGACAACTTAATATCATCACGTTTTAGTAGAAGTATCATATAGTTTGGCCTTAAAAACAAAATTTGTTCTGATTACTAAATTTCGATTAAAATATCAATGAAGTAACCGAAAAAGTAAAGCCAAAAAATGTTGCAAAATTTTTTAAACTGTAAGTAGTTTTATTAAGCGTATAAAAAGCAAAATACGAAAGTAGTTATGAGTGATTGAATGGGAAATACAAATAAACTACTTATGCATTACAGTGGTATTACTACAGTTTTGTTTTTTGGCATGAACTCGTAAAACAAAAATAATTTTTTAATACTTGACGTAAGAAATCAAGTAGGTATTTTTTTTCTACAACGCTAACAAATTAAATCAAGTTGGTCATATGTCATTGTGCTCTGGCACGATGACGTCAGGAAAAAATATCACCGATTTAAATATGCATATTGCACATGAGACTTTGGAAAAAAATTTAAATAATTCAATTTATTTTTAGTTTTAATATCAGTTGCCCAGTTCTTATGTATCTCTATGAAATCAAAAACCCAAAACTTTAATTTATAACAATATTCTACCATTTCATTAATAAATGTAAGTTTTTTAGTGACTACATGTATTTTCTACAGTTTATTGCATACTTTACTTCGGATGAAAATGCAGAAGTAGGAATTAATTATCAAATGAATAAAATTACCAAAATGTAAAATATTACTTCTATGAATCAATCATTATTCAAATAAAAATATCATAATGACATGTGATGCTAAATTATTTATTAATTTTCTTAAGATTCCACCCACTGCAAAGATATGGCATGGCATTCTTAGAAAAAATATATTTACAATCATCTGCATCGACTGTACAATTTTGAAAAGTCTTTCTTGAGATTCAAATTTTTTTATTTTTTTTCGGGGATATGAAAACGATATCACATTCTGCAATAAAACGTATACTACATGAATAGTAGTTTTCCTACGAATTTGAAAAGTCTTTGTTTTGCGAACCGAGAGGTTTGCGGCCCGAGCCGAAGGCGAGGGACGTAACGAGGTTCGTAAAGGAGACTTTTCGAACGAGTATCGGAAAACTGCTTTTTTGCCCGAGGAAGTACCAGCCTCCCAAAACCACCCGAGGGCGGAAAAGGTATTTTTCATCGATGTCAACAATTTGACCTTATAATGCAAACGTGTAAAATTAGCCGAGATACCGTATCAATTTAGATAAAAAAATGTTGATATCAGTTTTCTTTGAGGAAAGTAACGAGCAACACACCCTCGTGCGTTTCTCAAAACGTATGAGCTTCTAAAAGCCTTTTATCAAGCTGTGGGAAAAATTAACGCCAAAAAGGTCAGCTTTGTTTCGTACACCCGTGCAAATTTTCTAAAACAATGAGTATCAGGCAAAACGAGACAATGAACTATGGTTTTTTCTTCAAGCAAGCAAAGTATAAAAGAAACACAGAGAGAAGAGAGAAATAGCGAGCGTATCGAGATCGATACAGGTGATATTGATTGAATGGGGGGTACTTGAACGTTCAAAGTATACCGCAACAGCTTTCCAGTACATAGGTACACAGTGTACCAGTTTATATACATGAAAATGGTTAGCAGTAGTTCCATAGCATGCGTCTATATGTGCAAGAAAGCAGATACACCGATAGAGACAACGAGGAGAGAAAAGGAGGATACACTGTGTACACAGATGGTTATGGTACGAGAGAATGGGTATATCTAGCAAAAGGGACGAGAACAATGGTAGCCCAGCCATGGGAGATATGCTTCCAGCAATGGGAGCCTGATAGAGTTGTCGCGATGTATTCATCGTATCGCTGGGCCAAACCAGCCATGTTTGCCTTTCACAACAAGCTGCTGCTGCAGTTCGTGCGGGGGTGCAAGGGCTTAATTATCAAGGACTACAGCTTGTTGGGCTCGAAGTCTCGCCAACTCGAACCTACAGACCCACCCTCTAGTGCTCAACTCCGTGCTGTGCCGAGAAAGATCCTTTTACCATAATTTTGGCCAAACAACAATTCACATCGGCGTCAAGAAACCGAAATTACGCTTTCGTCGTGGAATATTATTGGGATTTCAGATGTTGATACCTGACAAAAGAGCTCGTGGGATGAAAGATGATTTACATTGATTGGTATTATTGTATTTCAGGAGAAAAAAATTGGTATTGTGATGATTGTCGATACATAAGTGGCATGATTTAAATGCACATCATTGGTTGTTCAATTATGCATACGAATTAAAAACAAAATGGACGAAAACAAAACAAAGGATCGATGAGAAAGAGTTTGGGCTGTTTTATTGAACAAATTGTGGGGTTTCATTTGCGCAGCACTTTAATCCTCAATTAACGGATCTAACGGCCTTTCCAAGCCAGTAAATCGAAATCTTTGAAGTAGGCCGGCAGATTTTTATATTTGCCCCAACTTTTCCTATCAAAAAACGTTTCTAAAATAGCTTTCAAAGTGCCATTATAAATTTTCACGGAAAGCGCTTGAAAAGTACAATTTAAAGGCAGTGGGAATCGGTTGCACGTACGATACACGCGTCAGGCGCAGGGACTGATTATTACCATTTTTCCACAATTAAGAAACAACTCCCGCCCTCCAAACCGGAAGTCACGCAATTTATCGCTCAGCTGAAAATTCTAATACCCGAAGCAGCGCACGTACGAGCGGAAACTACAGCTCGCGGGCCACAGCGGCCAAAGTTCAACGATAATTTAACCTACCAAGGCATACGAAAAAAGAATGTATGCATTATTCAGATCAAGTTGACCCCTGCGTCTCTTCATTTAAGGGATAATGATCCACCAAGATCTGCTAATGAAAGGAGGCGAGTTTGTTTAATGTACGTGGTCGTTAAACTTGTAATACACATCAGGGAGCTCAGGTATACGCCAAAGCGCTGGAAATGGTTATTTGATCCACGAGATCGAGAGATTTGGTTCGCAATCCAGGGTAACTCGATATAGTCACCTTTAGATCATTCGCATTCGATTTACACTCTCCCGAAAACACATTTACGTACAATAGTTTGGGAAAGAACTCGCCGAGTCAAAGTTTCATCCCCCTTGGACCGAAAAAAAGGCCCAACGAAGATTGTGCCAAGAGAGAGAGAGAGAGAGAGAGTAAAAAGATGAGTGTATATAACAAGGGTGCAACAGCAGGCGAATTTTGAGTGGGACGGAGTTTTAATGCGTCCTCTCGAGGTGGTGGGGTAGAGCTTACCAGTTATCGAAGCTGGAAATTCCGAAGTGGTGCTAAGTGGAACGCGAAGATGGATAGACACTTGACGCGGCTGCCTGGGGCTGATGGGGAACGAAGTTTCCCGGGAGAGGACAGAGACGGCCGTCGAGATTGTCGCGAGGCGAGAGAGATACGGGAACTCTAGGCTCGTCAGCGTATTGGCACGTAATTTCGCCTGAGATGCTCACCACCCCACCTTCTCCATCTCTCGTTCGCTTTCTCTTGGATTATGGACTTAACGAAGTTGACGCGAAAATCTCGGTGCTCCATCGGAGATGTAGACTCTTATGCAAGGCTCATCCGTTCACTTTTTTTCTTAAGGCAAGCAAGAAGTGCTTGACGGACGTTTGATGTGATCACGATTCCTCTCTGACAAAGGAAGACCAATTCGACACACATAAGAAAGTTGTTTATTTTTTTTTTTTTCGTTATACGGATCGTAGAGGTGAGACAGCTGACACATAAGACGATTTAAAATTCTGAATATTTGTCAGTTAGATCCTGCATAATGTGACTTTTTATGATATCATATGTATGTATTATTCTTTTCGAGTCACAGCAATAAAAAAAATCTCTTTTATGTCACGATGATGTAATAATGGTAGAGTCGTTGTTGAACCTGCTAGTAAAAAACTCGGAACTGATTTCAACTTTAAAAATACTGTGTCACTTGTAAATATAACTTGATTACATTAATGAAAAAATCTTCAAATTAAGTTTATCAGTGAAAAGACAAAAAAAAGGTTATTAATTTCCTGATAAAATCATGCCTTGTGTTTAACCCAGCCAATAATCTCTATGCAAAAATCTTGCTGCTGAATAAAGTATTCAAAGCCCGTATTGACACCAATTCACCTCATTGCTGTCGATCAAGCCTTTTATTATCTTCCCTTAATCACGTCAAATCTCACTTAGAGCTTCAACCAGTGCCCTATCTATCCGTCTCTGTCCTTCATCCCACCCCTCTGCCATTAAACCTACTCCTTTCGCCTGTAGTTCAGAACCCAATCCTTCCTTTGATCGCATTATCTTCGAAAGCGACTTTTCATACTTTTTTTTTTTTTTATTATTCGAGCCCAGCTTGAGCACAAAATTTTCCTGGTACCGATTATGACGAGAAAGAGTGAAAAGAATACAAGAATATCGAATTATTCTTTATTGGCATACGCCTTTTATGCATTATCTGTTGCTGTGCACATATTTACACAAAATTATTATTAATTTTATAGATTAATGTTTTTCCAATTTATAATTAATGTTGTGGATTAATGTTTTTCCACACTATCGATCTTTCTGATTATCTTTTGTTTTAGTTATACAGAATAAATTACAGAAACGTGAACGTAGGAAGTTTACCTTGAGTTTACCTTGATTATGGAACAGCCATATTGTATAATTTATCTAATAAAGAATAAAAATTGTAGTAAATGACGTTTTGTCACAACTTGACTGATTTTTCATTGTAAAAATTTCCAAACTTTTTCCTTCGCGTAGCTATGATTTTCCCGGTCAACGATCATTGCTTGCGAATAACTCAACATACGTTTTCCACCATAAAT